TGTAAGAAATGCAGATCAACATGACAAGATATTATAAAAAATTGAAAAATTTTACCTATTTTTGCCATATTTTTTCAAAATTTAAAAAATTTTCAAAAAAAATTAACGATTCACACTTGTTTCTTGCAAATTTTTGCAAATCTAGCACTCTAGGAATGAGGTTTGGAGTTTTAGAGTCATTTGGGGGTAAAAGAAGGCTTATTTCAGGGAAAATAAGCTTGCTTTTCCCCTTTATTTTTTCTAGTTTTTAGTCGTATCTTTTTCGTTGATATGCTACCAATACGCCCTAATACACCCTCGATACGCCCCCAATACGCCCCGATATGGGACCGATACACATGAAAAGACGACGAGACATCCAATTTCCATGCGTATCCCGTATCTGCTTTTGAAAGATACGATACGATACGCCCCGCATCGGGCATATCGTATCAAAATTTTAAACCTTGGTCATAAATATGCTGCAAGGAAAAATAACCCCCTTAGAAGTATCTTTCTATCCATGCAAATCAAGCAAAAGAGCCTGGCTATGTTCCTCTACAGGCACTCTTAGAGAAGGTAACAGTGTTGCCGACTGGCTAGCACAAAAAGGTCACATTTTCGAAGGACAATCACAACATTGTAAGCGTAGTCAATGAGCACTTTTGACACCTGTCCCTTAAAATACCCCTAGCCTACCCTTGAAAAAGATTAATACCCACTTTTAATAGTTGTCAAAATATTTAACAAGTACTCATTTAACGTGCATACTTTGTTGTGCCTACTAGATCTTGTCCCGATCAGGATCTAGGATTTCGGGTTTATAGTTTTTATTGATGCTGTGGCAAGCTTCTCCCTCGTTGGTAGTGATCATGCTCTCTCTTAGGCTGTATTTGGTTTGAAGGAAAAAGTAGGAAAATGAACGGAAAGGTAGGGAAACCTTTACAAACCTTGTATGAATTTCCCTACCTTTTCCTTCAAACCAAATATAGCCTTAATGTATCAAAAATGAATTAGATGAGGTGTAGTTATTTTTATTTAAATAAATAAGTAATAAACAAAGATTACCTTTAACTAAAGATTGAATAAAAATGACTATTTTCTTTATACCCACTTCGGTTAACAAGACATTTACCACCAATAAAAATATATGATGAAAATACATTCACTTATTTAAAAATTTGTTTATATTGAAAAATAAATTAGAATATATGTAAATTAAGTAGGCCACATTACTTTATTTAGTCATTTAGGTGTAGAAGGTCATAAAAGTAAAATACAAATAAACAATTAAACTTTTTAAATTCACTCCTTAAAACACCTTGAAACCGAGTTTAGATCTGCTCCAAACAAGCCACTACAGCCATACATCAGGCAGATCTCCCTTGTCATTCATTGTTTGGGAGATGCTCCCCTTCCCAATGTACAACTCTAGTATCTTGTTGGAGGCTTGTTCTAAGTGTTTATTCATGGCAGATCTAGTTTTCTTGAAACCATGGATTATCTTTTCAAGCCCAACAACCTCACATTTGTCTCCTACTAAGGATCAAAATTTCAATACACCATGTATCGTATCGTAACCAAAATAATATATAAGTTAAAAGATTTAAACATACCCTAAGGTTATGTTTGGTTTGAAGGAAAAGGTAAAGAAACCTATACAAGTTTTGTAAAGGTTTTCCTACCTCTCCTTTCCTTTCCCTACTTTTTCCTTCAAACCAAACACAGCTCAAGTTTTCAAAAATTGACTTATATACCCTAAGTTTTGTTACTGGATTTAAAAATGCCTTGTGGACGTTAAGTTTGATAGAATCAGTTGAAAGACTCTTTTCATTTTTATAGGCAAAATATTTATCGGTGATCAACAAAAAGATACATAGAGAAAAGCTCAAAATTCTTTGGAATATTCAAAGGAAAAGATGTTAATTAAATTCAAAATTCACCACGGGAATGTGTTATAATAAGCATGCATCACTAACCATGACAGACTTTGCTTTATAAACCTAGAAACGCTGATTTCTGTGAGAGAAAATGCAGCTACGGATCTATTTAACTCCAACGATGAAGATGATCCACTCGCAACGCCAAAATCGTCTTCTTTTTTTCTTCTTTGTATTTTTAAACTGTAATATCCTCCACAACAAGAACCAAAACAAAACCTTATTAAATTTCAAACCCCAATGTATAGTAAGTATCGTTTAGTAGACACCCTTATAGTTTTACCTAATTATTAAAACTTCCTCTCTAGTTTGCACTTTACTAAGACACCCCCCTATACTTTACAATACAACCGTTTTACTTGATAATCGTCTAATTCAAACCTTTTTCTATTATTCAAAGGAAAATGTCTCTCTTTTCTGTGGATCTCCCTCTCCTTCTCGTCATATTCTTCTCCTCTGTTCAACCTTCGACCTACCCTCATAGGTATCACTATGTGGTGCTTCTCAATCTTTGCAACCAGAATACATCGCCATTGTCCTCCATTTGTTTTTCAATTGTGAGCTGGCATGAGTGATTTGGTTTGGTTCCAAATTCTGTTGGAGGTTTGCTGCAGCGGTAGAGGTCTGGATACAATCTTCGATAATAGGGGTGGATCACGCTGACGAGGAAAGTTGGGCTGAGTTTTTCTAGATAGCAATAGTATTATGGGCTCTAGAATGCCATAAATAAAAAGGTTTTTTCAGAACATAGGTGTTTTCCAAAGGTAGTTATCGCATCAGTCAAACGGTTCATCTTCTCCACTTGATGCAATGGTGAACCAGCTCCTCCGGCCACTCTCTCTCTCTCCCTCTCTCTCTTCTTTCTTTCTTTCTTTCTTTCTTTCTTTCTTCTTCTTCTTGGTTATGTGGCTTCTGCCTTCCTCTGTTTTTCGTTTTCGATCACCGCTGCAACTCTCATCAGTGACAATCTATTTTCTCCTCTCTATTTCTTTCTTTCTCCCCCTTTCTTTCTCTTCTTCCCCATTTTTTTTCTCTTTCTTTTTCCCTTCCCTACTACAGTCATCCCAACCAAACAAACGTTGCTCCTATTATCCTGTGTTTCCGACATCTTTTCTCATGGCTTCCTTTGTTTCTCTGGCGAGTCTGTCGCCATGGCTGCTCTGCTGTGTGGCCTGCTTTGCGCTTCTATTTTGAGGACTTGCGAATATATATAGCTTCCAAATTTCTTTAATCTAAGTTATTTGTATCGTATATATAAAAGGCTTTCTAGCTTTGGCAAAAAAAAAAAAGAGTCTTGAGACTCTTTGTTTCATATATTTCTTCCTCATGTGGCATGGGTGAAGCAAGGTAAATTGAATATGGGAAAATCGAGCATCCTTCTATGCAAATGAATGTATATCCGAGGGATCTGTTGAAAAGATTCTTGGTTGTGAATTACGGGCCAACGGAGATTTTTGAGGCAGGAGAAGGCACTGAAGAGATCGAGCTAAATCTCGAGTTTTCTTTGGGTGGTTGCTTTGGGGTAGACCCAAGAGAGAAGAGGCTCGTTTGGTCATCATCGATCACCGGCTTGACGACTCTGGTGAGAGACGAAGATGAGGCAACTCCTCCTCCTGGTGGGTGTTCTGCTCTTGTAAGGACATGTTGTCCACCCATGAAGAACGGAGAATAGCGCATAAAGTAGTAAAAGGAGGTATAGTGTATTAGGAGGATGGAAGCAAAGAGAAGGTTATCAGAGAAGCAAAGAAATTTCAAGACAGGCAAGGATCGAGCACTTTTCAATATTATTTTTATTTTTTAATAATTTTATTTTATATTTTTATATTTTTTATTAGTATTAATTATTAAATATTTTATTTTTTTATTAATTATTACATATTTTATTTTTATTATTTATTAACTATTTTATTACTTTTTTCATTGGAATTTATTCATATTTTTAATATTATTTTGATTTTAATAAACTATTTTTATTTATTTTTTATAATTTTTACCAAAGAGTTTGTTTTAGGGGTAAAATAGTAAAATCAATAAAGTTCAAATGCTGAAAGTTTGACCAAAACAAACAAACTTATCTATTCAGAGACTCTAAAAAATAGAAAAGCATCTATACTTCTTTTTATATTTCAGACACAAATAATCTCTTTAACTTTTCATATTTCAGATATATCAAACCCCGCCATAGGCTAGGGTATTGATGGATCAATGCCACACAATTGGCAAAGGGGGAATTGAGATAGCCTAGCAAGTGAGGTGGAATAATTTGCTGAGGCTATCCAATTGAATTAACAATTAGAATCCAGACGAGTTTAAGGGTTGGCCCATTCCAGTCTGATCCAATCAATTCTATTCGTATGACTTCTAATGCAAGCAGCCCTCTGAAAAAAAATTGAGTGTTTCTATCACCTTCTTCTAACCACAATTGTCTGGAGTTCTGACACCAACAAGATTCCTGAAAATTTAAAAGAGTATTTCTCTTGGTTTCCAAATTAAATAATAGGTCACAAGTGTCTCCATCCCCCGCTAATTCTTCAACATACATGATTTGATTTTCAATATCCCTCAACTGATCATGAACATTTCCAAATTGATTCCAATTCCAATATCTAATATCCTTCTTTATTCTTTCCAGTTTAATCCCTATACGATAAGCAACATAGCCATTAATAGGAAAATTCCAAGCATTTTTAACAACATCTTCACATCCCTTAGCTTTGAGCCACATATTATAAAATCTGAAAGTCTTAGATTTGGATTTCCTATAATCCCCTATATCCACTAAAACAAGGTGATGGTTAGAACCCAGCTAGGGCCTAAAGAAGCAGAGACAACACTACAGAAAGAAAGCCAAGAGGGTGAAGCAAACACTTGATCAAGAGATGTAGAAAGATTACCCAAGTACCCTCTCACATATCTATACCAAGAAACCCCACCTCCTTGAGGAAAGATCTCCTGAAGCTCAAAATCCTGAATTAACTTAACAAAATTCCTAGAAACATAACATTGACTATGATAGCAATCAAAAGGAAAAGAAACAAGGCCAGTGTTATCAACAATAGCAGATTCATTAAAATCACTAACTACTAGGAAAGGAACATCTATATTCATTAAACAATCATATAGTTTCATCTAGAAGTTATTTCTTCTACTACGCTTAGGCTCTCCATACAAAAAAGAAATAATCCAAGGCAAAGATTCAGAACAGTTCAAAATTTTCAAAATGATAAAATTCGAACTAAACAAATAACAGAAACCTGAAAATCATTCTTCCAAAAAACAACAATACCACCAGATAAACCAATTAGGGGAACTATCACACAATTAGGAAGACACAAAACTGAAGCCAAGCAAGTAGCTTTCTCATGAGGAATTTTCATTTCACATAAAAAGATAAAATCAGGTAGATATTGTGTAATGAAATTCCTCAAAAACTTCCATTGCCAACGGTTAGCCACACCCTCGATGGTTAACTACAAATTCTCATGGGCCAAATTGTAGCTGTTTAGGGCTAGACACCACCACCCAGCTCAAAAAATAAACAAGCAAACTCACCTGGCGCCAAGATCCATTCCGAATATTCTTCCCCAAATAACATACCAGTCTTTCCCCCAACAACAACTAAAAGAAACAGAGAAGAACAGAACAAGTAAATATACATAATAACAAAATAATAAAAGAAAACCCAACCAATAGGGAAAGAAACAAAAAGTAAATAACTCTTAACTTTTATATCCAAATTACTACTAAAAGATAAACTACCCAACATACCGGTATCGGAATCTAAACCTTCAAATTGACCCGAACACGAACCTATCTCCATGATTTTAATCCCCAACTCCCTCCTAGGACGCTTACCAATCATCCAAATGTCCTACATAAGAATCCTTATGAGCTAATTTAGAAAGGGCAGAATTGAAACATGTCTCCAGATTGCCTAATCAAAAATCCATCCTAACAAATTCCCTTTTCAGATGATGCAACTGTAGATCCAGATTATCCGCTGCCTGCCCTTATAATCTCTTCATGACTAGGTTCAGCTGGCCTCTCTTACGAACGGACTACCAACTCACTAGAAGCCTCTCGAGAACCACACCAACTCATTGAAAGTAAGCAAGAGAAGAACAACTCACAGCTTTGAGATCATAAGTTAGACAACACTCCGAAGCAATCGGTCTTATTTTTGGTCTGGTTAACCTGCGGAGTTACCGGGGCCTGAACTTCGCTGAGATAGAACGTAAATACATTGCAAGAAGAAATTAAACAACAACGGATAAAGAAAAAAGAACAAACGAAAACGGAGAAGGCATAATCTTACTTGGGTGCAATGTAACACAACACTTTGGCATTCCGTGCTCGAGAGGGTGACCGCAGTGCTAGCCGATGGTGACTATAGAGACGAGTTGAAACTAGTGCAAGTTGAGAAGACGGAAAACGAGTTGTATATGAGGGTGAGAGTTCTGTCAAAGCCATGATAACAGAGTTCGAAGGAAAGAGTGCAGAGAGAGAGAGAGAGAAAGTTATAACGGAGTTACAGAGGTTGTGGTTATTTGGAGAGAGAGAGAGAGGGGCTCACAGATGAGCCGTAAGCGACTGTGGTTATAAAGGAAACCGGATCTGCTCCTCACAGATAGACCCTAAAGTTATTTGGGTAGGGAATCCAAAGCCCATTGTCAGAATTCTCTTTGCAGAATGCAAAGCTCCGCTGAACAATATCCAGTTTTTGTTTCTAAAAGTTTGTTCATCGAGTATGTAATATTAGCAGGCAGCTCACAAGCTGGCCAAGTTTGGAGTCTTTAATGGACATGGTAACAACCTGGTCTGTTGTTGCTAAGATTTTAAGACTTAGACCAGTCTTAAATGAGAATATTTCACTCACTATATCACAAGCTCACCTCGGACACCTCCTAGTCCTGCCTAGCCAACTTTAGAGACCGATAAAACTAAATCAAGGTTCAAAATTTTGATATGATGTCTCGTATCGGGCGCTTTATGATATACCCATTTACAGGTGTTTCGGGAATGAACCTCTATTTAATGCAAAATATAGTTAAAAATAGGCTTAAAATACTAAATTTTGAGACTGATATACCCATTTACAGGTGCGCAATCCGGTCGGTCCTATCTGTCAATGACCTTGCCTCTGAACGGAGCTATAGGGAACCTGAAACGGAGAAGATGAGGAAACTCCGGGGGGAACCCGGTGAAATTGCTCCGAAGCTCAAGTTAGAATTCTCTCAAAGGCAAGATAAAACCAGATGGCGTGAAGTTCACATACCTTGTTCTTGGGGGGTAGGGAGCTTTTTATAACCACCTTGTGCACTCACTTCTAGGCTTCTGTCAGGTCGGGTATGATTATCTCTGAGCTCCTGCCAGTTCGGTTGTCATCCCCTCTATAGGACAGAACCGCCACTGCTCTCTTTGTCGGAGTCGTCTCTGCGACAGGCGATGACGGTGGCAAGTGGCCGTTGAAATGCGGCTGTCAAGCGCCAGATCCCAAGTCAGTCAGGTGCGCCGCCCTTGGATACGGACCTCCTCAGTGTCAGGCATGGTACGTTTGTTCAGTTCGGCGTCCTGGAGGCGAAGTGCTGGAGTGGTGAGTGAGGTGAAGTCTTGAGTTCGGATAGGGGAGTGTCCCGAATTGCCATGAGGCGGGCCAGTTCGGGTCATTGCCTTGTGTGAGGCTCGGGGCCTAAGGGAGAGTTCGGGCCCCTTGTAGGGAGTTTGGGCTCCTAGTAGGGAGTTCGGGCTGCTGGTAGGGAGTTCGGACTGCTGGTTCCTCCCTTCGGTACTTGCACCTTGGGCGCGCTGTTGTGCCGAGCTGTTTGCCTTTGCCACGTGTTGAGTGATTATGAGGTCGGGCCAAATCTTCCTTCATCAATTGCCTCCCACTCCTCGTGCCAAGGGTCTTGCCTTGGCATGGAGAGTTCGCGAGGTGGCAGGTGGATTTGTCCCGTACTTCGAATCTCGGTTGACTGATAGCGCGAGGTGCGTTGTCAGGGTTCTTTGGGTTTCTCGAGCGCCCAAAAGACGAGAAGCGCGCCGACCTACCTACAAATGCTGATAGACATGACAGCGTGCGTCTTATTTCAAAAATTCAAAAAGCGCGCCGCTGGGAGACGTGACAGCAGGCGTCTTTTCAAATTTGAAAATGTGCCGCTGCCGCCTTTAATGTGAGGAGACGTGCGCTGGCGTTCTATCAGTTTCAGAAAGACATGCACCAATCACGTCTCGGTCTCAGGGGACGTGCGGTCAGTGCGACTGCGGGCCGTCGGATTGGCTTTGATCTGCGCTGTTGCTTCTCGGTCACTGTGGGTATAAATAGTGGGGGACCCCAGTCGCTTCGTCACTTCTGCACTTTGCTTCTTGAGCTCACGTCCAAGTTTCAGCTCGTTTCCAGGCTTTTAGTTCGCATTCAAGGTTTTTTACTCATTCAAGTTCCCATAGTCTGTTCAAGCCTTTTTCTGGATGAGTACCTTCCTGGAATCCACCTTCTCTCCTCGATGTCTAGCTCGGATAGCTCAGACGGTTCTTCAAGTGGGTCAGATGCAGGTTCCACGAACCGAGTTGCATCCCCTGATAGTTCTAATGAGCCGGAGGTAGAGCTCGAGGAAGAGTTTGAACCCGTAGGCCGAGTTGCCTCGTTCATGCGCCATTAATTGGGGAATTCCCAATTTGAGGCAACATGAGATACATGACACTATAGTTGATTGAAAATTTCAGCTTCCCAATTTATACCATTTGCATACTGTATTAACTTAACATTGTAGTTTGAATGGGCATGGCAACACCCAAAAGAATCTTTGACAGTAAGGAATAAAGTTGCAAGTTTGAAGTGCTTCTTTATGGTTGCTATACTTTTATTGTTAGATAATAGTAGACATTCCAAATTTAATATATTAGAAGCCAAATCCCCTACTGCACCAAATATTTACCTATCCACCAAACAGAGTTGGTAACCATAAATGCCCTTCACATAGGCATTCTGTCCCAACTCTCAAACATTAACTTTGCCATTATTCCCTGCTTAGTTTACTCCTTTGCAGCTTGCTTTGTTCAAAACAACAACATCGTCTCATTTACTACTTAATCATTAGCCATATACAAAAATTGCAATTAAAAAGAAAAGGAAAATTGCTTACAGAAAATAACAAAGAAATAACAAAGAAATAACAACATTGATGAAACCTCTTGACCACCCAATACGTGGCAGAAGCAACAGCTCGGCACGGCAGTATGCTCAAGGCGCAAGCTCCGAAAGGAGGAACCAGCGATCCGAGCTCCCCAAAAGGAGCCCGAACTCTCCCTTTGACCCCGAGCCTTACGAGGAGCGCAAAGGGCAATAACCCGAACTAGCCCACCCCAAGGCAGTTCGGGCCACACCTCTACCCGAACTCAAGACTTCACCTCGCACACCACTCCAGCACTGTCTTTAGGCCACCAAACTGGACAATCGTACCTGACACCAAAAGAGTCTGTATCCTGAGGCGGCGCACCTGACTGACTTAGGATCTGACGCTTGACAGCCGCACTTCAACGGCCACCGGCCACCTGCCACCTACCACCGCCACCTCCAGTCACAGAGACGGCTCCAACAAAGAGAGCAGTGGCAGTTGCCTACCCCAGTAGAGGTGATGACACTCGAACTGGCAGAAGCGCAGAGGTAATGATACCCGACCTGACAGAAGCTTGGGAGTGAGTGCGCGAAGTGGTTATAAAAGGCTCTCTTCCCCCCAAGAAGGAGGTATGTGATAACTTTGTGCCATCTGGTTTTTTATCTTGCCTTTGAGAAGATACTAACTTGAGCTTCGGAGCACTCTCACCGGGTTCCTCCCCGGAGACTACTTGCTTTCTTCCCTGTTTCAAGCACCTTTTGCTCCAGTTAGAGGCAAGATCGTTGACAGCTAGGACTGACCGGATTGCGCTCCATCAATTGGCGCCGTCTGTGGGAAACGCTTCTAAAAGCCTCCCTCTAAAACTCTCATAACCCCCTTCTTTTTTCCAAGAAACCCCAACACCCATGGCTTCTTCTAGCAATGCCGGACGTAGCACGGAGATGAATGCCACCGGGGAACAACTTCAAGTCCCCATGGTGTGCATCAGACAGTTCACCATCCCCCTTCCGGTGGATGGGATCCCCAGCCTGAATGCGCCACGAATAGTGGCGCCCGTGAATCTTCCCACCATGAGCGTCCCCCATCCTCTCCCTGTCGAGACAACCTTTACCGAACCAACTACTGTCCCCCTGGCGACTAGCCAAAACCAATTTGATGACTTGATGCAGTGCATGCGGGCAATGCAAGCCCAAATGTAGCAGTTCCAACAGCATCAGCTCCAGCAGCTCCAAGTACTGCACCACATCCCTCAGTATCACTATCAACAACAGTTCCCCCAACTGCATCTGAACCAACCACAACTTCCACCTCGGCACCCCGCCTCGAAGCCGGTTAAGCCCTTCCCTCAGGGCGGACGCCTTCACCGAGGAGAAGCCTCCCAACTTCAGAACCCCTCCAAGAGCCAGGCCTCATCCCCGGGCCGGAGGGAAAGAAAAATCATCCCTGCCTTGT